TTCTCCACACATATTAGTAATAACAAATGTCTAACATAAAGGGGCGTGTTAAATAACTTTCGTCTATGAAGTTACAAATCGCGCACGTATTAGTTATTTATTAGAAATTCCAGTTGAAGATTCTTAGTGCTTAATTATTAATTAACAAGTATCCATAAAGTGGTCCAATTTAATACTTTTTATGAAAAAAATTTGGAGTTTCTCTAATAAGGATTTTCACAGCACCTCAAAATAAGGATGGAATATTTTATTATTAAAAAGATTCTTTTTTCGTTTTTGAAAAAAAAATATTTGAGTATAATTTAATTATTTTTTATTTTTTTATTTTATTTTTATTTTGCCTTTATTTTTGAGTGGGCGGGGTTTCAGCCAAGGCTGCTCTACCAACCCAACCCACTATACATTTACAAATATCCATGCCCGAACCCGGATTCGAACCAGGGACCCTAGCACCACAGTCCAGCTTCAACTGAACTGCGCCACACGGGCCGGCTTTAGATATTGCATGAAAAGTTTACTAAACAATGTCAAATATTTTGGAGATGTTTAGGAAATTTGGAGACACTTTGGAAAAGCTGGAAAAGTTTCAAAAATATACAACGATATTGTTTAAATTCTTCTCCACAAGCTGTTGTTCGTATTTTGCGATATCAATAAAATTTGCCACGGTGCATCGGCGAACCAGAGAAAAAAACTTGAGCAAAACTTAATAGAAAATTGAAGGATACGTGAGGGAATCTGATGGAAAATTTAAAGCGAAACGTGAGAGAAGTCGGGAATTTTAGAGAAACTTGGTGAGATGTTGGGATGAATTTGATAATAAGTTTGGGGACATGGAAAGAACCTTCAGGGACATATGAAAGGAATTTGAGGAAACCTCTGATAGGAACTTGACGCGAGTTTCAGGAAAATTTAATGGAAAATTGAGTGAGATGAATTTGGAATTTTAGGGAAACTTGAGAAGGCCTTGAGAAAGAAGAAGGAAGAAATGAAGCATAGAAGGAAAAAATTCAAAGTGACTTATGCGGAAACTGAGAAACATGAGAAGAAATTGAAATTTGTGGAAAATTTGAGAATTTGATAGAAATTTGAAAAGAATTTCAGGAAAATTTAAATGAAGGATATATGAAGAGGACTTAAGGAGAATAAAGAATTTTAGGGAAACTTGATGAAAGCTTGAGAGGGATTTGATGTGAGAATTTGAACACTCCATGAAAAAAGTGTCAGTTCATAAATTATTGCAAGACTTACTCATCTCTCTTTTCAAACGTATGGTACATGCAATCGTTTTTGTTACAAAGGAAGGTGTCTGTCATGTACTATTATCTTACGGGTGTCGTAAAGGGTTTTGCATTTCCACTTTGCAAATCAATAGAAAACGGTTTTTCATTATCTTGATCTGCAAACTTGAAATATAAAACGCTTTTCATCCGATGTCGACGTGTTTACTTAATTGGAGCAGTTTTAAACAAATATTTGCGCAACGTTTAAAAACTCGCAATTTCCTTCTACGGTAGAATTTTATTAAAAGAAAACTGTGCGCTGTCCCAATGGCGTTAATTTAGGCAGAAGCGGCTCAAGGTTTCCTTTCGAGTATTTTACAAGAAAAAAGATGTTAACAGATTAATCAAGTGGCGGCGTCTACAATAGAAAAATCGAGCAACAAAAATATTTTGGCAATAGTGCCAGGACGGTAGTAATCTGAGACGTTCGCAAGCCTGGCAGACGAACAGACATGCGATAAATTAAACATAATGTTATGGTATGGGTGTGACGTCAGCGCATGTAGCGTGCTGTGAATTCGGGAATCGGAAGAAATTTAACTAAACCCCCCGCGAATGTAGTGCTGAAACGAACCGAACATATTTTCAGTCCAAGATTCGGTTATCAATAATAGATTTTCGAGAGGTCCTTAAATTTTATACGCCACCTGCTTTGTTTTTCGCGATAAATATTGATGGCACGAGGATGCATGCGGCAGGAGGGTGGGTGGCGATATTAATGTTTAAATCGGGAGAGAAAAACGATTTTAATGGGACTTAGACGTCGGGGCATTCCACATATTGAAGCGGTTAAATAAAATATTAAAGGAGTCAGCAAAGAGTTCAAGATGTCGAAATTTAGCCGATGTATTAGTCAGGGATTTCGAAATCATAAAGGGCTTCCGCTATGAAGTGCTTTAAGGATTTAATTCGAACATCACTTTCTGTCAGCATTCTCTTTCTACTACCCTTATCGAATTTTTGCGTCACGTCGCTAACCTGCAAGCAGACAATATCCGTCATTCTCCCTCTTTTATGAATATCTAGCGTAATGTTTTGAGTCAATATCCTGATCGCATTTAAAAGATAGGTGTCATGGCGGTATTTGAATTTAACGAGGGATGATTTGTGCGAGAGGATGCAAATTGGCTATTTCTACTTTAAATACCAGATTTGATACTTTTCGAATATGAATTACGATTCTCTTTCGAATTTTTCGATTCCTTTTAAGTCATTTACGCCATTACGTTTGAGCTACATTTAGTGGCACTAATTCTTTAGAGAACTTCAACCACGTCGAGAACGCAGCTGTTGCCAGTACAATCCTCCGTCACTTTTGACATTTGGACTGCCACATCAGCAAATGGACTTCGTATGCCCACAGCTATCAATCAATATAATGACAAAAAGAGAGTAAAATTTTGAGCCTTTTACGAAACAGTTTGTTTTACGTAAAGCGTGGTTGAAGTCTGTAAAAAGGAGGTAGCAGGTACCTGAAAGAGTAGGTACAAATGGCTCAAAATTGGTACATACGCCATCAATATTGGCTTCTTATATTTCTGGCATGCCTTTTCCGATTGTTTTAAACATTGCAAAATGATGACGTGCCCCTAAATTAGGGGATTTTATTTACATATTTATTTAATTTATTTATTTATATTTGCAGAATGGGGACGCGCCCCTAAATATGGGTGCGATTCACAGATTTTGATCCATGCAACATATGACATCGTTGTCTTTTGGTCTTGGACGAGTTTTGTAACTTTGAACCCATATACGAAAACATAAACATTTCCAATGTTAAAATTCTAATGAAATCTTGGAGGAACGTGGTAACACACCAAAACTGTGGGTGTAGTATTTCAGGATTGTGTCCTGCGTATACAAATGATTTCGCGAATTAGGAATTATATCTGAACAGTGTCAGAAACCTGATTCTGTATTTCCATGCCAACAACAAAAAACAAACTTGAGAAGAAACTAACTCCTCCTGAGTATAGACAGTTCGTGGTAAAAGGTTAGTTCAAAAGCAATTTGTTGAAATATGGTCCGATATAAAAATCGAGCAAACGGACATGAGAACAATTTCTTCTTGCGGAGAAGGCGAGAGTGATCGCTAATATACCAGAGGCTTATAAATAAGTTATGGAGAAGGACCTAAAATGCTTTGAAAAGCCAAACAGCCTGTAAAAGGTTCTGCAAAGAAGTCCGAAATGCTCTATAAAGCAATTCAAAAATCACGTGTATCTCTTATGAGTTCCTTACACACAATTACAATCATCGAAAAAAAAGTTATAAATACCAGGGTTGTCCAGAAAGTCTCATGCGGCGGATGTATACAAAGTTGGAGTCGAAACACTTGTAGCACGCCATGATAAGTGCCTCAATATGAATGGTGACTATGTTAAAAAATAGCCTAAGAGTGTACCTTCCACATGTATAATATAATAAAAGTTGTTTGGTACATTTTCTTAATTTTTTATTTCAAAACGTCTGTTACTTTTTGGATAGCCCTCGTACATCACAAAAGTTACAACCACCCCCGTAAGAGGTTGGTATGTGAAAGAAAATTTACCTAAAAAAATTCATACTTTGAAAACAGCCAAGGGTTGTACCTGCAGGAATACCCCGCTAAAGGGTTTCTTATGAGCCTCCTTTCGCATAAACAATCGACGAATGCACAACTAAAGTTACAACCCCTCTCATTGAGTAGTTTCAATGTGAGAATTTCCTTAAAAAATTCCTACTTTAAAAACAGCGGGAGGGGGAGGTGGGGTGCATTTGTGTGCGAAGTTTAGGGTTTCTTATGAGCCAATTTCGCATAATCAATCAACGAAACAAAAATATTTAATGCGCCACTAAAGTTACAACCCCTCTCAGTGAGAAGTTTCAATTTCCTTAAAAAACTCATACTTTGTAAACAGCGGGAGGGGAAGGGGGGTGCATTGGTGTGCGAATTTATAGGGTTTCTTATGAGCCCATTACGCATAATCAATCAACGAAACAAAAAATATTTAATGCGCCACTAAAGTTACAACCCCCTCAGTAAGAAGTTTCAATCTCCTTAAAAAACTACTTTGTAAACAGCGGGAGGGGGATGGGGTGCATTTGTGTGAGAATTTATAGGGTTTCTTGTGAGCCAATTTCGCCTAATCAATCAACGAAACAAAAATATTTAATGCGCCACTAAAGTTACAACCCCCCTCAGTAAGTAGTTTCAATCTCCTTAAAAACGCATACTTTATAAACAGCAGGAGGGGGATGGGGTGCATTTGTGTGCGAATTTATAGGGTTTCTTATGAGCCAATTTCGCATAATCAATCAACGAAACAAAAATATTTACTGCGCCACTAAAGTTACAACCCCTCTCAGTGAGAAGTGTCAATTTCCTTAACACTGCGTCGGTGGCGTTCGCTTTCCACTCACGAGTGGTGGCGTGGGATACTGTATACCCCATCATTGAAAATATGTATTTCTCGGGTATAAACACAATAAAACGTTATATGTTCATAATTAACGTAGTTATATTCGAACAAAAAAAGTAGTAGGTAATTATATAAAGCATTAAACAATAATCGTAATAATAGAAATATCCTTTATTCAAATAAATTTACTAGCACAAACAGGAATACGAAGCATACGTTCTTGTAACATTAGTAGATTAACTAATACTGTACTATGTAAACTGGAGACAAAACTAATCTATTCTATCTAAAAAAAAAAGAACAAGACTCTATTTTATTCATCCCCTTGCTCGCTACTCTCGCCACTGTCGTTTTTATAACATCTAGCGCATATAGCATGTTGATGATTTTTGCAGACAAAATTTCGACATTCGCCACATCTCACTGTGGTCTTTTTGTCGTCTTTTCGGGGACATATAATGCAGCGACCTGTTTTTCTCTCTCGAACGTTTTCGTCTTGATTATTAGGAGCTTCTTGTATTCCTAGCATATTCCGTGCCTTCTGGCGAATAGGTCTTGGTACATTCTTATTGTAAATTCTGCGAATTATGCAAGGCCTAACAAGTTCTAATGATAGGCATTTCAAAAAATTTCGTCTAGCCAGCTTTTGAAGTTTACCATTAGTCACATATAAATTCAAAGCATTTATTCCTGCTATGTTGAGTATGTCGAAAAAGACTGTCAAAGGCCATCTTCTAGTAGTTCTAGTCACATTGTACATAACACACATTTTATCCACCACATCGACGCCATACTTTGTGTGATTATAATCTACAATCATGGCTGGCTTATTGGTATCTTTGTCGATTTCATCTGAATGATGCATCGTTGAAAGCATCAGAACATTTTTGTTTTTTTTTGGTACAAAAGACACAAGCGTGCATTCTGTCCGGAAAGCAAACATCGAACTTTCTAATGCTCTTCCTTTTGTAGGTATTAGGCATGGTGGAATTTCCCGTTTATTAGCTTTTATGGTTCCAAGTACAGTTAGTTTAAATTCTGTGAGGAGGTCCATGGCCAAAGGAAAACTGGTAAACCATCTGTCCATTGTGACATTTCTGTTAGTGTTTTTTATCGGTTGAACAAGTCTTTTGACAACGTCACTAGGCGAATTCGATACCATGTAGGGACCAGCTGGCTGTTTACCACAGTAAACTTCGAGATTGATAGTCGTCATCGTTTTCGGATCCACAAGCAAAAAAAGCTTTATGCCGTATTTGGCTGGTTTGGACGGTAAGTATTGTCTAAATGGGCATTTCCCTCTAAATGCGATGAGTTGTTCGTCAACAGTGAGAAAACTGCTTGGCATATATGACGAAGAGCAATTGTTCACAAAGAATTCAAACAGCTCTCGTATAGGCGCTAGTTTGTCCAATTCGCGTCTTTCAGGCCTGTCACGGATGTCGTCAAATCGAATAGAACGATATAAAAATTTGAATCTAGCACGGCACATTGTGCAATAAACGAGTTCTACCCCAGTCCCATCATTACTCCAAATATCTTCAGTATTTAGTCTACCTTCTTTTAGAACACCTGTTATGTATAAAATTCCAAGAAATGCTTCCATTTCGCATTCATCTGTAGGTTTAGCATTTCTTGCACGTGTATACTTTTCTTGGAGTGTCCGAATCTTTATATTGGTATAGTTTGTGATGAAACCTATCATAGGATTGCTCACGTAAACATGAAAACATTCCAATACTGTTTTGGCGTTTCTGGCAGCTCCGAGAGGACCGGGTACTTTCACGACTATATTGTGAAGTCTAGTGCGTGACGTAGCAGGCACCATACTATCCCACCTACTTTTACCGTCTTTACCTATGTAATAAGGTCCAGAACGTGTTGCCTCATGCAGTCGTTCATTCTGTATTTCGCTTCTTTCAGATTCTTGTTCGATGTTATGCTCTTCTGGAATATCATCCGTTTCTTGTTCTGTGTCAGACTCATGAATTTCTTGTTCCACCTCATCTATTTCTTCGTCTTCTGAGCTAGATTCTGACCATTCATTAGCAACTTCCTCCTGTTCGATTTCCTCCAACCACTTCGCCCACTGGTTTGGATCTCTACTAGTTTTTTCATATGCCATTGTCTAGCCCAGTAAATACAACAATTATAATCTCTAGGATACGTAAAATGAATTGAAGAAAACTCACCAGAGAAATAAAATCGAGAAACACAAGTATCGCGCAAGTGGTGGCACGGGGTACTGCGTAACCCCACTGTGACTTTTCTCGTGAATTACAATCACTCTATCGCAAACAAAAATACCTCCACTATACTAGCACGTTATACACACTACTGTCAAAGATTACCTGAATGTGGGTAGACATAACCATCCCCACTCCAGAGCTATGAGCAATGAAACCTATAGTGGGGAACTGTATGCCCCGCGCCACCGATGCAGTGTTAAACGGTGGGTTATGGACTTCGTAAACAAAATCAAACAAGGAAACAAGAAATACAGAACTCACAATATACGAATCGTTATGTACAAGGGAGTTTTTATTTGAAAAAATTCTAATTTTTTAACCGGAGACCAAACTAGGAAACAAAAATGTTTCAAGTATATTAGAGAAAAATTACAACCCTCGCAATAGACGGATCGTTATGGTAAGAGGATTGAATCAATTTTTCACTCAACGGTAAAAGTGATTTTTTACAAAAAATTCTAACTTTTGAGACGGGGGAACTATACTTTTATGTGCACTTAAAGGGGGGCTTTTAAATGAATCGAGAAATTAGTACAAAAATAAAACAGAATAAAAAATTATTTGTAAATTAATAATTATGCAGATAGATGGAAATCCATAGTTACTTTGGATAATAATCTTTTTCTGGAAAAGACCTGCCACCCCTGCTATACTTTATCCCGGTTACGGGGTTTACCATTTGTCTGTCGGTTCGTGATACTGATATACCTATACCCTATTAAATAGCTCGCGGTTTCCAAGTACTTTCAGCGCACCTATAAGGGATTACGAAAATCAAATTGACAGGTGAACGCAGCGCCAGTTTGCAAGATTTACTTTATAGTATGTGTTAACCTATTTTGCTAGGTTTTTCTCATATACCTTTCATGTTCTTATTCATTGAAGCTTCTAAATTAGAATAGATGCATATTGGTCAGTTAGGCGCATGTGTATCGCCTATTTCAACTGTGTTTTGATTTTTATTTATTATTTGAGAGGTTTCGACACCAAAGTGCCTTGCAATTGATCACATATAATACAATAATCTCAATAAGTAAGTACAACAAGCGATGCGATTAAACTAATTCAATAAAACACACACTTTACACTGTTTTATTTGACACCTATCTTTTCTTCTATCTCGCACAAATACCACATTTGAAGCTTTTGTTAATTATTTTGCACGTAGTAGCCAAAGTCATTACATCTGCTAAATCACCAAGGTGAACATACGAATCCTTTCAGGTTAAACAAAATTGGGAAAAATCCAAATTTAGTTGCGCATAAAGAAGAAGATCTGGGAAGTGAAAGTAAGACAATTAATGCGGTCGTAAATGCGCTCGCCGCGGAGGCAGATCACGTGAATGGTTCCGATGAGTCCGTGGCTAGGCTGCACGTTAGTGATCGAAGTTTACACGAATTAGGAAGAACGTTAAAGAGATTAACCCTTCCAAGGCCTAAATCCGAAAATAATTTTGCATCGCAAGATATTCCTTTACAGCGAGGTAGTGAAAATAATGGCCGACCATCCTTCCATAAATCAGATACATTTCATAAAGAATCCACTTTTCAATGACGTCACTCCACGCACTAGTGCTCTGTGCTTACTGACTGTCTGTGCCAACTGCTGATGATTATGAAACTAATTATTGACAAGTCTAACAGTTAGCACAGATCACTAATGACTAGAAACCGACACCAAATTGGAGTGCTAGTGCGTGCTGCTTCGCTGTGTCTTTCTACAAGCAATACGTGCAAAGGACACTGCGCTACAATTGTGCAATATTAGTAATTACATTAAGTTAGCTTGAAACATTAGGTGCTCAATTAGTTATCTAATTACCTGAAAATTACAGGTCTGATTTTTGGTTTGTTTCAATTCAGAAAACCTTGTCAGTCGGAATTTTTTATTACCTACAAATGATTGTTCACTTAATTGTATACATAATCAAAAAATGGCAATACTATGCTTAAAGAAAATATATAACTATTTTTAAATCGATCTTATATTTTGCCATATTTTGTACCCATCATATAAATGTGATATCTGTAACATACGCCCAGTCCTAAATACAAACGTCAGTTCACGGAGTACTTACAACAAAGGCTTAGTCGAAACATTTGTCAACAAAAAATTTATATCTATCATAAGTACGCACAATTGTATTTTCATTACGAACGTGGTTAATAGAACTTTTTTTCGTTTGCTGAGAAAATAAAACCAAAAATCAGTCTTAAAGTAGCACACAGGATCACCTGATACTAAGTCCTTTGCAAATTAGTATCGGTAGAAAATCAGGAGTAATAGCCAAGTAGTTCCAACTTATAGGCCTAAATAAAGAAAGAAAATAGGAAATGACAATGTTTTCCCCTCCCTACTAAGGAACTAGCCAGTTTAATCGAGACTCCCGAGCGACTTATTTTATTTTTCAGTTTATTTAGGTGTGATTTTCCAAAGTAATAATTTAGACATTTGTATGTAATTTATTTTCTAGCGTTTTATACAGGTAATAACAGAAAAACGAACGTTTTATTTAGATTTAATGTATATTTACCGTTGATGTTTCTTTATTTAATTTAGAGGTCTGGAACTTTTTATTTTGGAGACACGTTTTGTACATTATGTAAATATTAAATAAACGTCAGTGTGGCTAGATCCTAGTCAGTTAAATTTATTGATATAAGAGAGACTCCAGACATTGTTAGCTGTGATCTTACTAAGTGAATGTCTTATCATTATAATGGAGATCTATGTTCGAGCGATTTATGCGTTTATAGATTTAGTTGTTTACTTTCTTCTATTTATTTTTTTACTGTATAAGAAACGGAACTCATGCAATGTGCTTGCAATATTTTCTCTGTAAGTGGTCTACCTATACTTAAGTACAATTTCTCCATGCCATCAAACTATATTAATAAATCAAATTCTACTTTCTTAAAATCGACACGTTTGGATTAATTTCGACCGAAGAAAAATAAAATGTTTCACAAAATATCAAAAAATGGATTTTCATACTACTCTAGTGATATTTACTTTTTAAATATGTACAGTAATTATAAGTGTAGATGACTGATATCAATATTAACGTGTTATTTAGTAGAGTTACTGCTATAAATTCATATGTGCACTAATTTTCTGCTTTAATTTTGAAAAACAAGTTACAATTAAAAATAATATTCAGTAAACCGTTTATTTTATAAGTGGAACTCTCATTTAAAGTCTATTGGAACGTTTCTTGGTTAAATTTATATGCACATTGTTTCGGGCAGTAACACGAAAACCATAGACAAATTTTATGATAAGTAGATAATATAAACGATATCAATTATATCATAATTTATGTTAAAATTAGTTCTTCTAATTCTTGCCATAAAAGAAATTCTAGCCTAGACTGAAGTTATATATGCTTTGTTAAATACGTATGTAGTTTATAATATAGATTTTTTTGTTAAATCGTGAATAAGTAGTCACTACGTATGAAAAACACTGCAGAGCTAAAGAATTTACTACTTGATATTTTTTACCAAAAGTGCTCATGCTGTTATCAAATAATCTAGAGAATATATTTGATTGGAGATGATACTTTTCGATACAGTGTTTTGTTTCCCTATTTTTCTCCTTGTTATTCATTGTAACCGATTTACGATAAAGCTCTCCATTCATATTTACATGTTACATTTTTCAATATTGTTTATGTTAATTTTCGTATTTATTTGAAAACATGTAAATAATGTAGAAAAGTGCCTCTTTTAAATTGCGCATAGCTATACTCTCTTGGTCAACTATTAGAGTAAATTATTTAAGTGTTTTAACTGTTGTTATAATTTGGTTTATAAGTGAATAAAGCTGCATTTTTACAGTTTACAGTTCATTTACAATTTAACGGTTACGGTCCGGTTTCGGTTCTAAAAAAAATAACGGTTCGGTTCTGCGCATTTTTTCGGTCCATAACGGTGCTTTTCGGTCTTAAGTCTTTTAGAAAGTATGGCATTCAAAAAACTCATTATAACAACGTGATTTGTTAATTAATAGGTGTGAAAATGAAAAAGTAATGAATACCAAAATGTGAGCTAATTTACAACAACAAGGGGAATAAAGGAGGAAGAGAGGAATATGTATTTAAACTTAATTTGTTAATAAAACACAGAAAAAATACACAAAAAGTTATAGAAAAAAATTTTGTTAAACCGAACCCTAAAAAACCGAAAAAAATAAGGGTTCCGATTCTCAATAAGTTTCCATTTCTGAAGGAATAACGGTTTCGGCTCGGTTTTTGGTACTAAAAAAATTCCGGTTTCGGTCTGGTTTTCGATTCTTTTACAGTCCGGTCCGGGTCCCTGGTACCTATACACATTAAATCTTTACCGCACGTCTCTTATTACGCCAAATCAATGTACCAAATAACAGTCGTTACAATTATTACTTTTACTTATTATTGTTTTTAGTTTTTATTACTTACAGTGTCCCAGGTTGGGTGGCAATGCATGGTTAACTCACGGTTCGTATAGGGACCGTGTGGGTAACTTTGTTATTATTGGCAGTTTCGCGTACCTACTCTTCATTGCCAAAAAATAAATTTTTCATACGTAGGTAGCTAGGTACTTACATCAAATATTCCATTTCACTAATCATATTTAAACAGCGAAGTATATTGTTTCGTTGCTAAAAGCAGAGCAGCTTCTCCGCTTCTTTTGATTTCTTATCTGTATTGACTAACCCGTTTGTATACAACCAGTCCAGCATACTAATAAAACATTATCGAAGGGACTTCAGCGCATTTTTGTGTGGCAGATCAGTATTCTATTAGCCAGTTTGGCCCCACCATCAGTAAGAAGATCTTGTCGAACGCTACACATTCCCTTTATCTCTACTCACTTCCGACTTCCAGTTAATCTACAATTCGCATTTTGGCGGATTACGCTAAAAACCCTTCATAAAAACAGTACTTACCTACTCAATTATTGGGGCACTCATACCTCCAGCTTCTATTGGAGCCAATAGAAAGAGAGACCGCGATTCGAGCTCTAGGAAACTTTTGGGCGCCCAAACTCCCAAAGTCGACTACTCAAAGACGATCGCCTTGCAAAAAGTGGTTAATTACGTCCCTAGGAAAAAAAACAAAATTCCGTCATGCGATTAAAAGCTACCTTTTTACCGCATGTTTGCAAATTTATTTGTAAAAAGGTAGCTTTTACCACAGACTTATATTTAAATCTCTGCTTTTACTTTCGCTTTGGCCAGTCGACTGGCTGGTAGCCAATGCGAGCCTGCAAAAGTAACGCATGTATAGAAATACAAGAAGTGCACATACCTACTGGGTCCTATAATTAACAACTTTAGAGCGATATGACCCCGATGGGGCTACACGATGTGGGGTTCACGAGATCTGTGCGTCATCTCCGAGAGTGTCATACAACTTGGTGCTTTTTCAGTTTTTTCCTATCTTCTTCTACATTTTTGGTCCGATTGTTTTCAAATTGGATTCGTCAATTCGAAAGACCGAATGGTTTCAAAAATCGACGATGACAGTGCATTTAAAAGCACTAAGGGAAGGTACCACTAAAAAGATCGCAATCTCCGCACGGAGCCCAGCCAGAGCGATCCCTAAAAGACAAAATACCGCACGGTATCATATTACATTTCTCTTCATACTCCCCTTTCGTAGATGAGGGCTAAGAAAATCCTACTAATTTGCATTTTTTCACCAATCAAATGCTGTATTCTACGTATTCTCATCCTGTCAGGCTGTCAACGCGTTTTACCACCCACCAACATGCGAACATGTCTGATTTTTTATGAACCCTTCAATTCTAGTCTCATATCTAGACGAACGCCGGGAGTTCCCGCAGAAACACCCATATATCCTCATATAAGACAGAACACATGGAAGAGGTAGGGTGACTTCGTATCGTAATCAATTCACCTTATCCTCCTATGTGCTCACGTCACTGTCTGTGTATATGTCTTTACAGTGGAGTTCTCATGGATATCATGAGGATCTTATTTCCATGAAAATTACCCAAGTGGTTCAGACACCTCGCGATTACCACCGTGTCTGGACAAAGCCTTATGAAGATGATTGATGTACCTATACCTATCTATGCAATGCAATACCGGGATCGCGGGATCCCGTAATACCGCCGGGATCCCGCAGCATTTTTGCGGGTTTAATCCCGCACATAAATGGAGCGGGATTTGCGGGACTGAGGAATTTGTCGACCAAGAGGACGACTCTGTTTACTTTGTTAATGAAACGCATACCCAACGGAGAAGTTATTTTTTAAGTTAAACTTTTTTCGTTAAAAATGTACTATGATTTTTGAGGTACTTTAGAAGTTCACCTTTTTGTGCTTTACAGGTGAGGTTTTTTTGAGTTCTAAGTTAGGCTGAATGTACTTTTTTGTTAAATATTGTGATAATTAGCGATTTATTCGAATACAGAAGTTAACCTCACAGAATTGCTTATTTGCCAATTTATTTAAAGTTTTGCAGGATCCCGCGGGATTAACATCTTACAATCCCGCAAATACCGGGATTGAGATTTTGCTGCGGGATTGCATTCCCTACTATGTATATATTAACAGCAAAATGGGTTTTATTACAAATCCCTGTGGGACACCTTCCCTGATCTAGTTGACAGCTTTGTTCCAGTTAACTTACTATAAAATTGAAAGTAAGAATAGGCAGTTTAAAACAAAAACTGCACCAACAATATCATATTTAGCAGGTCTTCCTGATCTTTCTTGCTTTAGTTGTAGGTAAGTATGCCACTTTCTACTAAAAGTGGATAAACTAAAGAATTGATAAACTCACAATTCCACAATAAATATTTATATTAAATAAATTACATTTTTACATATGAACAAATTTATAAAGCAACACACAACATCAACAAAGCAAAACCCAGACGTTCGTATCTATTCATCACAAGGGCAACCAGACTAAATTTTACAGCCGACTTTAGGACTCTTGTATTCCAAAATATTGTTATAAACTTTAACCAAACGTCGCATTCTCTTCGCAGAAATGTCTTCTCTTCTTGTACCGCTGTATTGATTTCTAGAGGTGATTTTGGTTTGAATGTGGCAATTCGCCTTTTTCTAAGGCAAACGTTTCCATAGTTATCAATGTATAAAAAATCCATCACGGCATTATTAATTTAATTATTAATTTACGATGTGAATTAGATAATAAACAAAAAGTGAGGTTGTGTTCATGTGTTGTTTTAGGAATTTGGGTGTGGTTCCCGTACAAGTAGTAGTGAGAGTCATAATGTACCTCAGTGCGTCAAAAAGTTTTGGCCCACACATCTACATTAGGTATTTTTGTAGGTATTTACGAAAATTCAGACAGGTCAGTAAAAATTAGGATGGAAACAATTATGACAATAAATGTTGTCCTAGCAAAATCAACACCAAGTTAAAAGAAGTTGCAGTTGAGCAACAGTGCCATATTATATCAACCGTACATGAGAGAAAATTGGAATATTAAGAGTAAACTATTATTGCTCAAAAAAAATTGCTAATAAAGTTTTTGCGTTGGTCTCCTTTGAAGATGGTAGCATCTTGTTAAAAACTTTTTTTAGTAGTTCATATTTTAGCCTATTCTCTAGAACTCCTTTTTATTTATTTATTTATTTATTTTGCCTTTATTTTTGAGTGGGCGGAGTTTCAGCCAAGGCTGCTGCCTTCGTACATGCATGAAGAGAAATCAATGAATAAGCTCTCAAATAATTGTGTTATTAGTAATTTTCACATGAATATGTTTGATTGTCTAGTTCACTTGTTTAAAGGTGTTCAAATGTTATGTTTTAGAAGATTCCCCAATGAAGCTCGAATTTACCTTTACCTTTAATAGACTGTAAAAGGAATACGAATATCGAAATAAAACATGATAATAAATATGTGTAACACTAAATTATTTTGTTTTTTATGCCTGGTGGATTCTTCTGATTGCGTCCCTGGAAATTGTTGTTTCACCTATTCCTGCCCTGACCTCGTTTGTTTTTGTTGTGGCTGTGCCTGCCATCCCATACAACAAAATTGATTCGACAATATAACCTAACCTCACAATCGTAATCAAAACAAGAAGAAACGAAGGTGGTATCGCAATTCGTGTTGTTAAAAACCTATAATGACTACTTTAACATTACAGATAACTTAATTACTTGTGCATAAGTACTTCAGCTTGAAAATACTCGAACATGGCTTCTATCCAAGAGCGCTTGCAAATAAAACGTGAACCATTGGACAAATGGTCACTCCGTGAACAATTATGCTTAGCTTCAGCTGTAGCTAAGAGTGGCGATCAGAATTGGATGTCTGTAAGCAGGCAGTTGAAACCATTTGGTGAACCGAATCGACCCTCTGATTGGTTTCATCAAAAGAATTGTGCCTCACAATACGGATCGTTGTTAGAAAATGTGGATACACCTAAACGCAAAAAGAGATTGTCTGGCTCAGAACCCGTTATTGAAACACCAATTGAGACGATTTTACGTAAACTGACCAAAGATAGAGTGGCAGAAATAGAAAAGTGTTTGGCTGAGGAACGTGCTGAATATTTAAAACTTCAAGAGGACATGGTTCTACTGCAATCCGGGAATGTTACTGAGGAATTGCTGGACAAGTGGTGTAAAGAAATTGACGAAGAAGAAAATCAAAAGGAAGAGGAAGCTATCGCTCACACCCAATGGTTACAAGAGCGTGAAATACGAAAGCAGGAAATTGAACGGGCATGGCGGCCAATGGGCAAGCCTGCAGTGAACTTACCCCAGAAACGTAAATTACCCGACAAACTTGATACATTAGTAGATCTGGAATTGGCCGAGGAGAACCAACAGAATCAACATCAGGAAACAGCGAAACCTGCACTGTCACCCTTACTCACCAGCCTATTGAAATCTCCATCGCAAGTGCCCAATGTAACGAGCTCCTCCATTTTGCACACGGTAATGACTAGTCAGCCTCAGCGCAACACCTCGTCATCAATTGCAAACCTCCTAAATACTCAGCCCAGCTCGACTACAACCGTTGACTACCCACAGCCTGTTACCCAAGAGCAAGCTTCCAATTACGTTGCCATCACTCATGATATCCTGGAGGACGCTGTCGATTCTATACCACATATTAAAGTCGAAGACCTGGAAAGTTCAATACTTTCGTCGGATGATCCTCTGCCCGAAATGAAAAATGAAGAGGTTGAGGTGATCATATCGGATTTGATCCAAAATGCCGATGTTGTTTCGGATCCTGAGCAACATCTGCAGTTGGATGACCACGAGGACATCATTACAAACTTGGATAACGAACTGCAAGAGTTATGTAATGAAGAAGAGGCTGCGGCTGCTAAAGAGGCTGCTGCTGTTAAAGAGGCAGCTGAAGCTAAAGTGGTGGAGGTTGAACAAGAGCCTGAAGTTGTAAAAACAATTCCTGGTAAGGATGTAATCTGTTGCACTTTCATTGTTACGGAGTCTGTGACATGTTCAAGCTCCAAGTTAACTCACACCATAATCGAATATCATACAAAAATGGCATGTTGTTAAATTTAAATAGACATCATTCACTTTTCTTTAAATCCTGTGTGTTGAGTTTGATAAAATTATTCCTATAACATCATTTGTTAGTGTTTATCACTGTTAATGGAATCGGGAATACCAAGGGAGGATTATTTCGAGGGGTGGGACACTCCTTAAATAGGTCTACCCTCAAATAAATACCATTCAATAAATAAGTGCAATCCCTCAGACACTTATAGAGGTTCTTCGTAATTTTTGTGCTATCAAAAAAGTTTCTATATAGGCGTCATATGCTCTTTTTGGGTCAAACTTAAAAGGCACAATCAATATTTGACAATATTCGCTCGCTTAAGGGAAATTAAAAAAATACCCTGCATTTTCATAGTTTGCGAAAAAATGTGTATTAAAAATGTAGGTACTTGCTGAATGAGTAATCTCCGTTTTCAAAATAAGGCTATGATATACTTATGTCAGTTAAAAAAGTTACAGGACCTTATCTCCTTTTTTTAAATAGAACACTCTGTATATTTTAATCTAAAAACATAGCATATTAAATTCTCTTTTTGAAAATATTATAATTATAAAAAAATTCAAAAAGATTAAAAAAAGAATTAAAAAAATTAAGAAAGGTTCAAGCTCGGGTTCAAGTGATTTAAAAAAATACAAAAAATTGAATATTTTTGAAAAATCTGGAATCTGAACTAATATTCAATTTTTTTTAAATTTCTTTAGTGTTATATTTTGAACAGAAAATTTAAAATGCTTTTTTTATGCTAATATTTTTTTGGAATAAAATACACAGGGTGTTCCACTAAAAAAATTGGGTTAGGTGGGATAACTTTTTAACCTGACCCTCGACCTGACCTCATATATTTATTTAGAAAACGGCAGATTATTCATTCCCTAAAGATCCAATATGGCGCCCATAAGAAATAAGAAAGTAGGCCCGCGTAGCTTCTACATCTAGCGAGACATTTAGGGTGTTATAGAAATTCTGGTAAAAAAAATTTTTAATTCTTAAAAAATGCGCTAAAAACTCCATTGATTTTTTCAATTTTCTAATTATTTTTATTTATTTAAATGTGTTGAATTGGCATTTATAACAAGAATTTTTCAACAGAAGTTGCAAAAAACTCACCTGAAAAAGAAGAAGCGAATCCACCCAAGCGCGACCCTTTTGAGTTTGAGGAGGATCCGGAAATCTGCGAGTTAACCAAACCCAGCGCGTCAATTTTGAAATATCAAGAAGCGATCGATAAGCGTGACCAAGAGGAAAAAACTGTTGAAGTTGTTCCCCAAGAGGAAGAGGCGAAGTCTGAGAATGACCAACAGGGAGTGTCTCAAAATTCCGGTTCAGTTGAAATAGTGGAAGTCGTTGTACTCGAAGAGGAGGAAATTGATAAGCAACTTAATAAGACTCAAATTCAAGATATTGTCCATTCCTTTACTACAGAAGTGGATCATTCTCCCACCAAACCAGAACCGGAAATGCAAACTACGGATCTAGAAACGAAAGAAGAACCGGTTCAGGAAGCAGTACAACCTACTATCATCAATTTTGACGAATGCTCAATTGACACAGACGCGAAGTCTTCCGATACGGAAATAAAAAACTTAGCGGAAGATTCCAATAAGACAACTTTAGATGATAACTTGACCGACAATGAGTTTACCGGTTCGTTTTTTGACGATCTTAACATGGAGGTTAATAAATTGGACCATAAGGCAAAACGCGATTATTCGCGTACTAAAAAAAGGGAGTCTGAAAAAGAGTTTGACATCCTTCTCGCGGTCGAAAAGGCGGTTAATGCGCAACTCGAAAGTAGGGACATCATAGAGGAAAATTCCATGGACAAAAATGAGGAAGTCGATAAAAAATCGGACAGTAGTTTGTCTGCTAAACCGAAGATTAAAGTGGAATTGGACCGGTCTTGTAGCCCGTGGACTGAAGATGACGAGTTGTTGTGTTTGCGTAGCAAACGAAGATATTCGACACCGAGCGATTCCATTCCGAATTCTCCAGCATCCAGCTCGGTCTACTACGAAGACGACCGTGATTACAGAAATTGGAAGAAATCTGTCATGTTGGTCTACAGCAGGTTGACAACGCATAAGTTTGCGTCGCTCTTCCTGAAACCCATTACAAATGAGCAAGCGCCGGGATACCACAGCGTCGTTTACAGACCTATGGATTTACAAACGATTCGCAAGAACATTGAGAATGGTAGTATAAGGACGACGTTGGAGTTGCAAAGGGATGTGCTATTAATGTTTACCAACGCAATCATGTACAATAAGATGAACGATTTGATTTATAAAATGGCGCTGCAAATGCAACAGGAAAGTATGCAGCAGCTGGACATTTTATTGCAAGCGCAAATGGGAGATTTTCCTCAACGACGGGAAACGCGAACGAGTGAACCTTCCAGTAAACGCAAGCGGTCACATGAGGATAACAGGGGCAAGAAAAGAAAGGAAGATTAGATGGACGGTAGTGAAACTGAGGGTGTAATTAGCTCACATTATCTTCCTAGTGGTAGGGTTTAGAATAATAAGTGTGATCTGTAGTATAATAATTTAATTTAATTTTCATTAGGACAGTACTTTATATACTATGCACAAGCTAAATTATATAAACGAATATATTGACTTGCAGTTTAATCTATATTTTCGGCAGACATCAGTATTCTTCAGCTATGGAACCATGGGATTTTTATTTGTGTAAGATAAATTTATCAGAGCGCTAACTCTGCGTGCTATAAGCCCTAATCCAGTAGACGGGTCGGAAGTTAATAAACCATTGGGATGTTGTTCAGGGATGGTAACATTTTCTCAAGTTTTGGAACTCTAGGACCCTGTGCCAAAAGAAGAGGGGTGGGGGCACTTCAAAATTTTTTAACATTTTTCCGATTTTTACGCAATATTTTCCCCCAGAAAATTTCTACCTTTTTTTGTGCAACGTTAAATTTCCAATAATTCAAACATGTTTTTATTTCATTTCGTTACCAAAATATGGTACTTCCAAAAAATGTTGGCACCTTCAGCTTGCAGCTCGTATGACGTGGAATAGATAAAGCAGCGTCTTTGGCACCGCAGTACGCGCACCACCCAAAAAGTTGTCCTGCATCGGAGAATACCTACTCAACTGTGTTGAACCCAGTGGGGCGGAGATCTTCCAAGATTACCCTTCCAGCTGCTTTGACCTCTTTCTGCCTTGCGTCTCTTTTCCTTTTGGTGGAGTATCAGTTATCCTACAGCATTTTGTCCCCACCCCGCTTCAGACTGATAACAGGTCTGTCCTTGATTCTGACGTGAGGTTTATTGGTCTCTACATTTCGTCTGAAGACGACTTCTCACAATTTTGCTGTGTGGTCGACTGTCTTTTTCAATCGGCTGGTGAATGAAAAACTGGAATTCATCACTGATTTCTTTGATGTATGAAAATATCCCCTGCATGACCTCGCCAACACGTTCTTTTCTGCGACATTCGTCGATGGCCAAACACTTGCACTTTTTGGTGTTACTCGTTGACGGCGACTAAGTCAGTATTCAAATTGGGCAACTAGATTACGCGTTCTTCTAGGTCTATGTCCCACTCGTTTTTATTCAAGTCAAATTTTAAGCTATTATATGCTAACTTCTGCCCAAACGGACATCACAGCACTATCCTAACCTCTCGGATTTTTGGTGACGTTATGGGTGTTTTCCGTAAAGTGGGTGTCCCATACGTAAAACACTCCTACCAAGAGTTAGTTACTCTATATCTGCCACTGTTCGCACAGCGTGCATCCTTCTAACTTGTTCCAACTCCCAAACTTGATCCATCCCAAGGTTAGTCTGCTTGATCACGTCAAGCAGGGCAGTTAGTGGGTCACTTTCTTCTTCCCACTCGTCTCCACGCATCCTCCTTTTCTATAATTTTATCAGCCATTTCGAGTAGCTTTGACAGGAGTTTTGCACCTTTCCAATTTCCCCCACCTCCTCTATTCGCACAGGGTCCTCGAGGTCCAAAGCTTGAGAAAATGTTAATTAACCATCCCTGAACAACATTCCAAGGTTCACTTCCGACCTTTTTCTAGCTGAAACAACCTGTCGACTGCAGTTATAGTGACGGCTTGATCAATGGAAAATTCTAATTCGAAAGCGAAAGTTAACAGTGAATTAACAGTTTCGGGGTGTAAAATTGAACAGGCATTTTTTTCTCTTATCACAATTTAAATTTTCAGAGCGGAACGCGATTTGATAGCAGCGACTATATCATTTTTATTTATTTTATACGATCATTTTCATACGACGAGGGAGTCGTAAATAATATCCAGAAAATTTCATCAATTAAGTCTTCAGGAGAGCCCATTTTCGTTTGTATATTGTCCAGATTTTACGCACCACTTTTTCCAGAAGGGCCTTTTGTACCATATGGAAAACATAGATTCTAGGAAGCGGTATAATTAAGGTAACGTAAATTTTTTATTTGAAGAGAAATACCGATCGTCGGTTCTCTTGCGTTAAATTTTATTGAACACATTCAGAAAATTCTTAAATGAATCGATCTATGTAAATTGACTGCATGGAACACATTTGTATGGCATTTAATAACTATACTTGTTTTGGAGCTAGTCGTCGGTTTATAATTTGTGAAATCGTGCGCACTTGACGATGCTTCAACCACATCCTGATGCCATTGCAGGGCGTACAAGAAAATGAGTTTCATTCAAGAAGCAAATCTTTTTGGAGCAGTGTTTGGCGCGACCAAATTTTAAACTCTGTCCCCAACTTTTGAATATCTCAATCACACATGCTTACCTACTACCTATAGATAGGATGATTCAAACAGATCAGATCCTTCTGTTTTACACGCAGGAAGCTGCTGCGAACATCTTAACATCTTATGTATCTAAAAAATCATGCTATGAAATCCGCAGAAGAAGGTTCCACCTCTCGCCATTGTTTCCTCTTTAGCCGATTTTTTTTTGCGGTAGCCTAAATTAGGCATTCTGACTTCTTCCCCAGGTATTTATATTTATTTAAATAAGATTCTGAAGTACACTAAACAAAAGTTCATTGGGTATATATTTATTTACACATGCGACGTGATTTAAATTTGATAGTATTCCCCTGTGGGTTCGGGGACAGAATTGGCCCACTCCCGTTCTGGAGATCGTAAAAGGCGATCAATGGGCACTAAAAGCCAGACACAGCCGTTGAGTTGTCTAAAGTCATGCACATTGCACGTGCGGTCATAAACGCGCGTGCAACAACGTCTGTCTGTAGCTGAAAAAAAAGTCCAAAAAAGTGCTTGTTAAAAATGTCTGTATGTACATATGGGTGTACGTGTGGTATGATTCTTGCAAACAATTAAGGTTCATCCGAAACTACCCGACCGATTTCGTTGAAATTTCAAACAGATGTTCACTTAAGTGCTTAAGTATCTAGTCTCAAAAGCTGAACAACTTTTGGAAACGATTCTAAAATGGCAAATGCCTTTTTGGTAATAAAATTGATACTTATAGCTGAGAGGAAATGAAAAACACCGTTTAGACTTTGGTGCTCACGTCCAAGCCCAGATAAGATTATATTAAAGATTCGTCGGACCCACGTAGGTACTGGCCGTGAGTAAAGGTTTTAACCTACGGAATCGGGATTACATCATCTCTTATGAAGTAGTTATAAGGGATGCCAGGAATCCAAAGAATTTGAAGGACCGAGTGAATAAGTCTTAACAATAAAGGAATTCGCATGATTTGTAGAACACACGATTGCAAAATATACGAAAATTTCCATGACTTGAAATTGGATAAATGCATCTTAAGATTCAGAGAATGCAAACCCGAGGTCTTTTAAAAATCCGACAAGGTCGAAGGAAATCAGCAGTAGGGATTCCGAAGTATATCAACAAATTCAATGCAAACGAAAACGATGAGTGTAAAGAATCCGGTAACCTTCCAGGAATTCAAACCATCTGAAGAATTTGAGGAGCATTAAGAATTGGAATGAAACCCGAAAAATGCAATTATGTAAGGGGTACAAGTAATACGGTGAAAATCCCAAAAAAATGCAAAAGGTCAAATGAAAATCCTAAAAATTCTACTAATCCGAAGGGATTATGGAATTTATTAATCGTATTAATCACTTTCTTTCACAGAAGGTCAGATATGCAAGGAATACCAAGGATTTGGGGAATCGCTCAGTAAATTGGCGAATGAGAAGTATACGAGGAATCCGTACAATTGGAAAAAGTATGTGTTTTTAAAGGCTCGATCCTTAAATGTGTGTTTAGAGCTCTTAGCGATCCTTCAGTACCCTTTAAGGCTTTTTAAAGTTTAAAAGACACAAAATATTTTAAGGGCTCGGTTTTAAATAGGGAAGCTCGAAAGGACAATCGACCCTTAGACATCGTTCGAAGTCCTAAAAGCTCATGGAGACTGTTCGAGATCCTTAAATGGTAACAACTTCCATTAAAAGTTTTAAAATCCCATTGGACACTTTTGAAAAGGTTTGGAGACTAAAAAATTAATAAATACTTATAAAGACTCGACCCTTAAAGGACCTTAACTGTTTTTGAATGCTCTTCGACTCAGTAAGTAATTTCAAGCGCTTGAATTGTGTCTTATAAAAGCTCCTTAATTCTCAATAATAAAATGTTTATTAACCGTTCAAAAAACCTCTTGCATACCTGAAAAGAATATTTTTAACGACTCACGTAGATGAATATACCTTACCTGCGGGAACAGCTCATAGTTATAGGGATAGTAGTCATAAAAAAGGTGAATTTGAAAGAAAAACTACAGGGAATATCAAAAAATGGTTATTCAAAGTTTACGAAACATCTGCAATCGGTAGAACAAAATTGTCCTTGGTAAGAGCAAATGAAGATATCTAGAGTTGAGTATAAGGGACAGTCCTTTACCCAACTGCAGCCTTGGTGCTCTTCATACCCACGGGAACCTGTGTGCATAAACCCTAAACACAGATCCGTCCCTGCTATTTGCATATAAAAATAGTAGCTAATGAGTCTTTCCAGGATTTCCATGATTCAGCACCGCATTTTCCACAATGAAATAGTTCCCACAGCATGGGAATACAACGCAGATGTTTACGAAGACATACACATATGAATAATATTAATTCTTTATGTTAAAATTGTGGTTGGTTAACAAGGAACCACGACCGGTATTAAATCTTACGTAATTTACGTTTCCAGCTTCTTTTTTCGCACATATCATAACAAAGACTACTAATAACTAGTATAATTGCTTACGAAACGTGACGTGCAAAAAATCTTAATGAAAACAGCGAATTTCCTAGATTACATCTTTTATGCACGTTTATTATAACCAGCAAGAAACAATGCTCGTGCTAGTAGAATTAATACACAATAATTAATATGAAGATATCTTACGTTTACTATGTCCAACTGTTCGCGTGGTTTGCGTATTGTGATGAAGAACATTATCCAACGAAGTACGACTCAATCGATTTTATGGAAGTGTTGGAAAACGACAGACTAATAATCTTATACTTGCAGTGCATATTGAGTGAAGGACCTTGTCCACCACTTGGACGATTAATGAAAGGTATGCAATTTTCTCAATCAAGTATATCATTGAGCTTCTTAAAATTTTCTTTAAAATAAAATAGGTAGCAACCTTTTTGTCTCATCATTTTTCAGAATATACATGTTGCGAGCAATTCTCTTCGGCACTAGTACTATATTTATCAAAAACATCCAGTACATAGTTCACGAGCATAATGTGACTGACTATTGTTTTTCGTAATTGTGTGAATTAAACTACAAGGTAGTTTTATTTATGATAAACTTAACTCCTCTTAGGTGAGTCATGATTTTGAATGTACAAAAATTCCTTGTAATTATAACCTAATTACCTATAAGTATCTTTTCACCAAAACGTAACGAGGTACCTATTATTGTAAATGGCATAGGTACACAATTATCTCTGTTATATGTAGATGTGTTCTATGGGTTCAAGGGAAAAACTTTGTATCTAAATGTAAATGACGTATTTACTTGTGTTTACTAGTAATAGATACAATATAATTATATACTTTGTTTTAGAAATATTGTATGTGCTATTAATATTGAAGCGCATTTAATTAGGGACTTTCGCTAATCGCTTAAATCATTACCTACCAATGGACCGTAATAAAAGAAGAGGACCAACAATTTCTGTGTTGACTAACTGGATCGCCTGAAATCCGAAAATATTGTGTACTAGACTTTACTGCCTTGATATTACTCTCTCGGAATTTGCCTTGTAACAACTCAATTATCAAATCAGACTACTTTACAAATTAGCATATACACGTTTTTCTATTGCATGTACTACACATTCTGTTTTTGAGGTAATCTAAGTCAAGGATCTTTTGCTTTTCAGAAATCCTACCAGAAGCAGTCGCAACAAACTGCAGAAAATGTTCGAGCATCCAAAAACGTCTAATAAGAATGTCGTCTGTCGTCCTAAGAGAAAGGTTCCCTGAATACTGGGAGAAGCTCTCAGATAAATTCGATCCGGATAGGATTTACCTTAAATCGTTTCTTGCATTTTTGGACTCGGACGATTAATCACTTCGTGGAAATGTTTTAGTTGTACTTTGTAATGTTTTTTTAAGTGGCAGTACACGAAGGTTGAATGTAAATTATAAGATATATGTAAGTAAGTACACTATTCCACAACATTAAACAATTTTATGGATCAACCGCTTGCCTTGAATTTGCAAAATTATGCAATATACGAGTACTACCACTTGTTACAATTTATGCCTGCAATGAACTAGAACCGAAAACCTTCTGGGATCAAATACAGCAATATCTAATAGTGATTCAGGGTTCTTAGGTCTACTACACTCACGGAATGACACAATTATTTATTTTATAAATTTAATGGTTGGTCATTTTTGTCGATTGTCGCATAAAGTAGGTAGTTAAGAAACGGAAAATAGATATAGAGTCACTGATGAAAATCACCTTTGAAACTTTTAAACAAAATCTACATACAAACTAAATCCCTTCATTATAAAAGTGAAAGTGGAACCAGTTTTTTAACGACCACCACAGATCTTAAAAGCAACGGGACATCCAAAGAATCGACATATCTGAATGGGCTTTAAAAGTCTTAAGGTTCCTAGAGACACTTGGAAAATGATCCTAATTAAGTAAAGACTGATAAAAAATTAAATTCTCTGATGCTCTGTTCTAGACTAAATATCTATTAAAACATCTAAAAGCCTCTTGGAATTTTTGGAGACTCTTAAACCTGTTTAAAGGTTCGGCCCATAAAGGTTCTTGAATGAGTTCGAAGGTAGTAAATATGCTGAAGAGTCTAAAGACCCTTTAACTACCACAAGCTCTCTAAACCTCTTAAAAGGTATCCGGCGGTGTACTTTATTGCCGTTTTCATCCTCAATGAATGCACGTATATGAAGACTGTTTATTACCGCAGGAATTAAGTAGGTCTGTTTTTAATGAACGTCTTGGGCCACCGCCAGCAAAGCAGGTACGTTCTAGTTCTCAGCGTTCCGGATTCCAGCTCGATTCCCGTTTCAGTTGATGGTGGTTTTCTTGACCAAATTTACCAGAACTCCCTAGGTTCTGCGTAGTCCAGTCCTGTCGTTGTGAAAGGGTATACCATATTTACGACGTACCAGATTTCTTGCTCGCAGTATTCAGTATTTTCACCTCATGGGAATGTGAGTTGGATCCCACCATGAAGGAATCTGGCTCTTAGTAGTCTCATTGCATCCATTGTTAACAGCTTGGCCGATCTCCGTAGGGGTTTCTTCAACTTCACCTGGGCCACCTTAGATTTTGCCATTCACCTGGAAGTATTTATTTGTCGATTTCCGCACAATTCTTCTCGTATTTTTGGACTAGTTAGCATCATCTCGTTCTGGCTTTTTCCACCGTAATGTTGTGGTGGAGCTTTACTCTTTTAACACCACATGGCAAGGAATGTAGTATTTTGCAGGTGCCTCCCCTGCATTTCGAGGTACCTTGTGTCTTAGCTCGTAATACTCTGACAGGAAAACTTGGAACGTGGATTCCGAATGTAGAAGCCGAGCGGTTGCCTTTTCCAATTCCTCAGCTTCTCCTTTCAGCGACAGGCTTACGGTATAGGTGTGTCTACATTCCGTGTTGTTGTCTCTTGATACCTTCTCTCGCATCGTTCTTCTTCCTGCGATAGTACTGCCTCTTGGTTTTTTGGACTTCTTACATTTTCCAAAACTTCGTCAGCGGGCTCTCGACCGTGATGGAGACCAGGATTTATATGGGCTTACATTTTTTCTTCGGTAACGAAGGACATTTGGGAGCCGCTGACGAATAGTGCCCTAGCGTAACACATTCCTATTTCTTTTGCTTATTTTTTACTACGATGATGCAGTGGCTAGTAATATTTCAATAGCATTCTCTCCGCTTATGGAGAGGTTGCTCGCCAGTTCTATTTTTCGACGGTTCTGGTCCTTGCTTTCGATATTAAGCATACTATGGTGTTGGCGTCTGCAACTTCTACAAGAATGACCCCATAGTAGTCACCACTAGGGCATTAGATAGATCAGAAACATTCCATTCTTTCCGGTAAATACGATGACGCGAATTCGTCACGGTATACATTTGCCCCACAAAAACATACGTCCTCAAGAAAAATGCAGCCCAGGTAATTAAATGAATATTACGGCGGGGTCAACTTTCATTAGTGGAATTTTTTTGAAACTGGAAATTTTTGGGCCGGACTTTGTCCATGTTGCAATATACCTACATACCTAGCATCTTGCTTTAATTTTAATTGGTCGAACTATGCTTTTGATAGTTGTTGAAAAGTAGTAAATGGTTACATGATAAAAATCAACCTTTCCTCCAGTCCAGTTTGCTACTGTGCATCTTCAATTATCAATCTTATGGCAGTGACGGAGTTAAGGCCATTACTACAAATATTAAAATTGCAGTAATCTTTTTTTTTATTTTCAATTGATATTCCTGATTTAAATTCCGTTTATGTAACTTTTTGATTCTTACTTTCGTGTATATTCAATCTTTATCTTTGCAATCCAGAGTTTTTTTACTCAATTCTTTGTTTTGCCGTTAGTCATTCAAGTGTTGTAGATCTCTTATTACAATAGTTCTTTGTTTCGCCGTCAGAGGGCGTTGATATCCCTCTTCTTGAATTCGGTATTGCGTGCAGTTGTATTTTTTTCGTTCCTTTCGCACAGTAAAGATTCTGACATCGTTTTGGTTACATACAAATTTTCTCTTCTTAAGCTCAACAAGTCCATTGCGACTTGTAGTTCAAAATGTAATTTTTGAAATTCTCGTCGACGCCTATGATTGATTACGTACTGGTTTTCGATACAATCGAATTTTTATTACTACATTTGTTGACGTAACGATTATAGCTCCGTTGTTTTCTACTGAGTTCCATTTTGATATTAATACTTTCTCCGGCTACATGTTGATCCCCTTTTTACTAAAAATGAATTTAAATTTAAATGTTGGCATTTCAGATCTACAAAGTGTCTTATTCGTTATTTGTAATATTTTGGAGCTCTTTTATTAAATCACCCTCGATTGTGACGTCAATTATTGTTACAAGTATTATTTCTTTAACTATTGTCAAGACCAGAACAAGGATCTCTTAGTCTGCCTTGTTTCCACCATTTGGTAAGTATTTTCCCCTAGTAGTAGTTTGAAAAAGACTAATGGCGCCTATGTTTGTTACTTTTACTACATTTCGCTTTCTGCTTCCTTTGTTAGTGTACCAGAACCCCAATATTCACCCCGACCCACCTCTACTTTGCCTGAGCGTACCATGTGCTCTTAATACAGTTCTGTTAAGTGAACGTAAAAATCTTTATAATATCACTGCGTTTTCGTGTATTCTTCTTATAAAAATCAATTTGCCTAGGTTTTTGGGTATGCCCTAGGGTATGTCCTTTCTGATTAACAAAAATTTCCCAAAAATACCTACCCAAACGAGAGCGTAGGCAAAATGCAGAGAATGCACAAAACACACGCTATTGCAAAAGTAATTCACTTTAATACTCAATGAACCGCAAGAGACTTATTTTTATTTAAATGTTACACCCTGTATATGAGATCGTTGCTTCATTTGAAATTTAAGTCATTATTATAAAGGAAGGCCACGCGGCACTTGGGATTTCCTAGCACAGTTCTCAAAGTTAAAAAGAATTGCTTAAAATGTACCTATGTGTAAATACCCCTCCCATAAATTATTTCATGAGAATTTTTTGATAGAAGCGACCATTTTCGTCAAACCTTGTAAACTTTCCCAGTTCAAAATTATATAATTCTAATCTGTTTTGCTTAGTGATTTTTGTCCGTCGTGTTGATAATTGACGCTTATAAATCTAGATTTATCGAAGAACGATTTTGACCACATGCCTACCTACAATAAAATAAAAAATTTTTCGACCAACCTTGTATAAATTACCGAAAAGGACGTAAAATTGTTTGCACAATTAGAAAATGTAAAAATATACGAGATGTACCGTCTGGCGAAATCTGCCCAAAACTCTCCCCAAGTTTCTATTATGTTCATATTAAACTTGTTTTATTTTATACTTAAACGTCTTTCAAGTTCCTTTAAACATCCTAACAAGACTATCTCAAATTTGTGCCAAATGGTTTTAAAGTTATTTGCAACTATGATGCCTTGAAGTATTTCTGAAGTTTTGAAATTCTCATATCATCATTTGCTTTTTTAGCGATCCTCTCAGATTTATTTCAAGTTTGCGCCAGGCAAGTTTCCCTCTACCTTCCTTCAAGTGAATTTTAAATTTATCTCAAGTTTCCCTAAGGTTCTTGCTTCTTTTACATTCTTTATTGTGGCCGTTGGCGAGCTTGGATCGGAATGTACCATCATGGATTCAATTATGGGAATTGGGGGTATTTTCCGGCATGTTCGGTGAAAAATGTATAAAATTTATAAATTGTTTCATTTATTTAAACTATAGTGAAAACGGTTCAATCAAGAGTAACTTTTTTATTTCCCGACGGATATGGATGCAAATGCAAATTCAATTCAGTAGAACATACGAAATGGTAATAATGTCACGTTGCTGAAAATATTTATTGCTAACTTTACTAAAAATGAACTTTCGTGAACTGTAACTTTCTGGACCCAACATTTTGTACCTTCAGTTTATTTGGGAAAATGTTTCCTTTGTTTTTTTTACATCTATTATTTTATATATGTTAATTTTAGTAAATAATATAAAATCACTAAAAAGTTTTTTTAAATTATACTACCCCCAGTTGGATTCTGATGATTAGCTAGATCTAATTGACTCCTTCCAGTAACCTTGATGTTTACTATTGTGAGTGGATGCATGGAGCTTGAGGTGCAGCGCCTCCACGCGGTAAGCTCTGGGTTGATTTGATATTTTTACAAAAACAACAGGTTCTAAAATGTCAAATCATGCGAAACGCTGCACATTTGCCTTTGGGTTTATGTGGCGCGGCTTAGATTTAAAATGTTATGCTCAATTGAAAATGTGGAATATAAACAAATTAAAACTATAAAACTACAGATTTGAATATGGACCTATGTTATATACAGAATAGACATGTCTTTTTTTACGCGAGTACTTAATTTTAGGAAAAAATTCGACCCAACCTACTGTCCTTATCCGGTTTGAAGAAAGATTATCGTATCGACAACCTCATCCAATCCAAGCGTTTGATCGTTTTCAAATGGTAACTGATACAATGTCATACATTTTTGTCCAATGAAAGGATAGTTTAATTCCCATATCAATCAGGGTGGCGTTCTTCCCTTTCGCAAAGTCACAATTGTCTGCAATATCAAGACTTTGAGTCAATAAAATCGGAAATGAAATAATTTTAAATGATCAGCACATACCTTTAAGAGTCCTTTAATCTGTTGATCACTCAGCGCAGGTCATACTCAAAACGGCATCCACTTGTTCTTTGAAAGTATTTCCAAATCTTTAAATTTATTCCAGTCCACTTCTTAACCTCTGGTAATCTTGTAGCTGTTAAGTACATTATTTCAAGTGGATTGATCTCACTCATAGTACTTCTACAATGAATCAAATTATCTTATTTTTATATTTTATTTTTATTATTTTATATCTTACTTTTATATTTTTAAACAACAGAAATATAACGATTTAACAGACAGATTAAATTATAAAAATGATAAAAGATGTCAACGATTCTTAGTCACTAGAGCAAGTAGGAAGAAATTAATTACCTATCATTGTTTTCGCTAAGGTTAACTTTTCTACATACAATTTGTTGGACAACCCAGTAATAATTAGTGTAATTGTTTGAATTGCAACATTCAAAATTATATGGCAATATTTTGTACTCATGTAATTGTAAACGTCTACTTGCTAATTTTTTTTATATAAATGGGAAGCGCGTTTTGAAATTCGTATAATGAAATTCTACAGCACCGGGTCAACATGAATAACTCTGTTATTTTATTGTTCTTGGTGGCATTGTTAAGGGCTACTTCTGGTGATACCATTGCAGACGAATTTGATAACATTGATATCGACGAGATTTTGTCGAGCAAACGGCTTGTAGATAATTACATACATTGCTTCAAAACTGGACAGAAATGTACTCCTGACGGACAAAAATTCCGAGGTCGGTATTTTTTGTAGGTGCGGGTGCTTAATTTCCTGTTTAGACGTTTTACCTAAGGCTATGAAGTCGAAGTGTGAGGATTGTTCGCCGGCTCAGAGGGAAAAGGTTTTTAAAGTTGTAGAATGGGCGGCACAAAATCGTCCCGATGATTTTTTGGAGCTGGAAAATATATACGACTCGCAACACGAGTACAGGCGGGAGTTTGAGGCCGAATTGAAGCAACGCAATATTGCGCTTCCTCCGTTGAGAAACTAGCCGAGGTGAATTTATTGTAAAGGTTAATAATAAAGTTTTTCAAATCATCCAGAAATGTTTGTGAAGTGACAGTACACGTTGGTCTAGGTTTGATTGGGGTACTCTGTTGTTGGTTAGAAAAACTCGTACAATTACCAAATTATCAACTTGATAGGACCGATATAGCTTGGCAAAATGCTTCGGGTTATAAGACTCCCTTTCTTTGGGTGTGAGAAATCTAATCACTCAAAATGGTACTTATTGAACCTCCTCGCTCAATTGGGAGAGCGCGTTTGAAATCTCTGAAGAGAAATGCTAATCGAGATACGTCAAACACTCTTGCCCTACCTTTATCCGTTAGAGAACTTTTCCGCTAAAACCATTTTCCTTACAGGCGATAAAAATCTTTGCAGTGACACACATTTGTTTCATTGCTACCATCTTGTATGTTACGAGGTTCAAACCAAACCCCTTCCAAGACCCGTGGGCCTGGCAGTTTTTGAGGCCCCGTCATCTGGGATCCTTTGGCTACATTGACCCAATTAAATTAATCCACCAAAGAAACTCTTCTTGGGCCATGAATAAATTTCGGTTATTTTTAAATTATATTGCAGGTATAAAAAACAAGTATAAATTGTGCACAACTTTTGTGCAGATAAAGCGCATTTTTTAAACGAAATAGTTTTTGTTTTGTCATCACCAATGGATATATTTCTTGCAGACGTCTCAATCGCCCTTTGTGAGTCCCCCTTCCGACAGTCAGTTCTTGAGGTATAAGGGAATATACCCGATCACGATAAGAGGTCGAGGAGGAGGGCTATGGTTGGTAGAATTTAATTCCTTTCGTTGAGACCTTTCATTAGAGTACCATGAAGGATAAAACTAGCCCCCCCCCCCGCCCACTCCGTACTTTGATAAGAGGATAGAAAGAAGAAGGGCAGTAGTTGGTAGAAACCTTCAATTAGAATACAATGAGAGATAAAATTAATTTGTAACCCCCCTGAGGGGGGCTCAGGCCCCGTCGCTCACTGATCTCGAAAAGGAGTCACACGGGAAAGTTATACTTTGTATAAATCAATTTATTTCGATGAGACCTTTCATTAGAATACCATGAAAGGTAGAACACGTGTTAACCCCCCATTTTCTCTTCAAGTTTAACTTTGCACCACTAAAGGCATGCATATGCAAAATCTGAGACCAATTGGTTGTCGTATGTAAAAGTTATGCACGTTTTACTTTCAAAAACAGCATCTCAGGAAATTATTCGTGGGGGGAGCCCCCATTTTAGACAGCAAAATTTGATGGCCGTCTGGCACACCTATAAGGTATAGGTTCCCTACTGCAAAAAATTCCAGGACTGCAGGACCATTCCCCTAGAAGTAGTTCGAAACGGTAGAAGTGGGTCCGGTCGGACGGACGGACAAAACATAAACAATAGCACATTTTTGTAATTCTTAAAAAATGCGCTAAAAATACTATAAGAAACGCGCGGTCTTTAAAGCAACGTTTATAGTGATTCCGTTACGCGTTGCGCTTTTAAACTCGTTGCGCGTGCTTTAAAGACTTAATTATACACCTGTTTTTTAATATACTATTTCTACTACTCCCTCAAAAATGATTCATCAAAGTTAGATGGCGTGGAAATGATGTATTTGGTTTACTTATCAACAAATGCGGCCGGCGGCAAAGCAAAACACACAAGCCACAAGCAATTTGTGCTGTCTCGTAAGGATTCCTCCTTTACAAAGATGTAATTTCCACTTATTAATATGACGTAAACATAGTATGCTCCTACTAAATAATTTCTGAAATATTACCATTTGGTAGAAAAAATAGTGTAATTGCTCTCTTGAAAGCGACCTTTTAACGCCCGTTGTATTCATCATAAATACGTAGTTCAGAGATTTGCTATTATAATTTGAAAGTCAAAATTTAATAGGACTCTTACATTTGAATTACGGATTTTCGGAATTTTAACTTTTGGTATTTATTTATGTGTTCGAATGAAAGGGCCACAGCAGTAATTATTTGGTTCCCAACGTGGGGCATTGCATTTATTTTGTATGTGCCCGAATAAACTAGTCACTGCAATATTTAGACATTTATTTGTATTTATCGCTATTAATGCCCGTTTGCACAGACAAATTTAAACGGAGCTTAGCTTAAGCGTAGCTTAAAATCCATGGCAACGATTATTGTGACAATGGTTACCATGGATTTTTAGCTACGCTTAAGCTAAGCTCCGTTTAAATTTGTCGGTGCAAACGGGCATAAGATGCCTAGATGTTTTAGCTCGATTTTTAGTTCGCCGGCAGTCCGTGGACTGTCAGTCAAAATTATTCCGGCCGGCCAATATCGTTAGGCATTTCGCATTTCAGATTAACCACAAGCATATTTCAAAGTCAAAGAAGTGTTCTTGGTGGAAAGCCTAGGCCTGAACCGCTGAAACGATTATCGTGGACGTGGTTGTCGTTTGCAGTTGCTGTTGGTGGCTGAACTTTGTGCTTTTCGCAGACTTTATTTTGGTAAAATGTATTTTCACTGTAAATTTGAGGCTATCCGAGACAAATGTGAAAAACCATAAAGAGGTGCACAGTGGTGGAGAGAGGTTAGTGAAAATCTTTTTTTCAAAAATCGTATCCCACGTAAATGCAACAAAAAAATACGCGCCTCGATGGAAAAAGTCATCTTTTAACCAGTCAAACAAAAATAGAACAATTTATCACTCAAAAATTAACATTGGAAGTACAAGGTTTCTACGCCACGCTTTTTCTCTTAAGATACAAAGTACATATCTACTTTTTTTCCTACTACTGTTGTTCGCCATTATATGTAATGTAAAGCGAGATGTATGATAACATTATATGTATATCCTTTATCCTTACGTATGGTGATGGATTTAATGTCAATGTAAATGTATACATATATGCATAATTTAATATAAATAGTTTGGTTGAAGTAAAAAAATAGCGTATGTAATTTGGATAAATTCGTTAAGGATAAAACACACACGCACTTTTTGATACCGTTCAGGGGATCGTGCGGTCCCCCAACCGCACTTTATATCCCTCAACTCAACTTGTGCGTACCCCGTGAGTTACGAAACGTTTTACCCCTAAAAATGTATTGACATGCTTTTGAAAAAGAACATCGTGATCGCCCAAACTGCTCTGGTGCTTCTGAAATTTGTTTGAATTTCTGTCATACGAGTAGTTTTTGAAACGCCTCTGGTGACTTCCGCGTGCAATTTCGCTCCCTGGCGTCTTGACTATTAAATCTTTCCCATTGTCCATCTAACGAAAATTGTTTTTACCGCAAAAACGTGCATTTTCTACTAGAAACACTTTTACACACTCAACCTCCGGTTTTTCTCTTACCCTCTTCGTTCTACCACTGCGAGTTTTCAAAATGGGAGTAGCGCTAGTCTACCTTCTTACATAACCCGCAGGCAAACGAGTCTGGGTAAAACCCAGACCCGGAGCCGGACTCGGAGGTACCTAAACCCCGGACGCGGATGCGAACTTCATGGGTAAAACCCGGACTCGGACCCGGACTTGGTTGGAGAAAGGTACCTAATTTCTCTTATTATTATTAATGTAATAATTAATTTGACTCTATTTTCTTCGTTGATTTTCAAACTAAGAGGGATCAAAATTCCAAACGAGAAAAGTAAGTCTTGGAACTTCGCCAGGCTTCGATGTTTCGATGCACGAACATATAAAAGAAGAACACCTCCGGGTTTTACCCAGACTTGAAGAGAGATTGCTGTATCCATTCTCAAAGTGAAAAATGTTCTATAAATTAAAAAAAAAGGCAAAAGTAGGTTGAAAAACACGTTCACGTTTAGAAAAAGGTATGTCTATTCTACCCACAAACGCAAAGGTTATTAGTTTTCCGATTTTTCAAATGTTTCTTCCACCCTGTCAAATTGATTCAATTTTTAATTTAAAAGAATGAGAGATGTTCTTTTACGATTTGAGGTAAACTCTAAAGTCCAAACCTCAAATTTGGTCATCACACTGGGCTCGGTTGAATTTCACTTGTGGATATTGTACTTATTAATAACGAAAGCAGTAGCAGTATTTTGAAATATTGTAATGATCAAAAATACAGTTTAAAATATGCAATAACGTGTAATAACATCAATTTAAATGGTTCACATAAAAATATAACTTAATTTTTAGTTATACCTAAAGGAACGACAACAGTCCATTTTCGAGTTAAGGAAACTTTCATAGTTATGACTTTAAGGGTGGCAACACAATGTTGCGACTCTTCAATTCATCCGCAAACTCTCCTCTGTATACGTGCTCTTTATCGTACATAGTTTCGATTTCCAAGAAATCATCGGGCCTGTTTTGGATCATCCATTCGAGTATCTTATAAACTTTTGCCTTCCGTTCTTCACTGCAGTCGGCACATTTGTTTTTGAGTGTTTTTGGCACGAGCTCTAAAAATCAAATTAAATCAAGCAAATTATTTTGGATTTAATACCTCTCAATTTTAGGCCCTCCTTGGTACACGGTGATATTTTTTTGGCACATCCAATGTAATTGTTCACAAGTCTTTCACTTGCTAAAATTTCGTCGACGTCCAATTTATCGAAGTCTTCATCGTCGGCGGGGCGACCCCAAACCGATGCGACGAGGACTAACATACTTACAAGTATTACTTTATTCATCGTTAATTGCGAAGCGAAAGCACTTGACTGATGAATTTTGCTCCTCTCCGTATGTATTTATATTCAACACCTCGAATTAGTTATGCAAATGGGCGTTGCTAAGTGCGAGCGCAAAAAGGTTAAATTATAATTATTATTTGTAATGTGACGTCTCTAATTGCGATCAATGATTCATTTCATATTCACTTCTTACTAAATTAAAAAGTATACGTTAGTTCGTTTTTTAATGCCTTACGTTATAGTTTTTTGCCATTATCCCATTCAAGGGTACTATTCGGGTTTTACAGACGGTGCTCCCCTTAGGATACATACACGGTGGAAGAGTAAAGGATTTTTGGTGGAATAGAATTTGGCATTAGGTTTGCGGTCCAAATCAAATTCGTAGATTTGATAAAACTAAACCAATGTTTCAATTTGTCGTACTAAATTCACATGATTTTATGCTGCATTATGTAAATGTGACTTACTAACATCTATAGTCAAGGATTAACATGGGATAACGTAAAACTATTTTTTAACCGACATTGTCGCGCAATGATTTTTTTAATGCATTTAGTTAGCAAAAGGGAGTGCTGTACGCAAGTATGAAATAAGCTTTAAACGGTTAAGTTCCTTGAATGTAACTCCATGCTTTAGAAAATAAATTAGATATAGGTACATCGTAATCCCTTTAAATCGCTAATTTTATTTGGATATATATACAATCTGTTCCAGTTTAAAGTACTGCAGTGTCGTGGAGTTTCGTGAATGTAAGAATGGTGCAATCATTACAGCCTCTTTTCATCAGATTAAAAGCAATAGGTACTCTCCGTTCGGCCATTAAGAACTTATGAGTTAACTTCGAAGCGCCCAGGTTAATTTCGTATGGCGTTTGGGCCTTTGCTTGTGTAAACTCGTTAATATGTCTTACTTGATAGGTTTTTTTTGAGGTGCTCTTGTGTTCCCTCCAGGCGTTCAACGGAATTTTACAGAGTTATGGAAGCATATGGCAATGAAGAGCAAGGTACACACATTTGAATTGTAAGTTAGTGAAAATAATTATATAACATGCATGTGAACGGCCGTGAAACTTGTAATTCTGGATAAGAATTGGTAAGCATAGGGGTCAAGGGGATACCCACAATTAGTAAGGTAAGTAACATCAGGTGCCTACCTAATTTCAATTACAAAGCTTTCCGCTTTAAATATAACGCAATTAATTAAAGTGAGAGTACTCAAAATCGGAAAGTAGACATGGTAAGGATCGATCCACATCAATCAAAATAGTTTTTGTCCCATATTAAAATTTGTAAAGAGACAGCTTATGAGCCTAAAGGGGGAGCAACCCTAGATAGGTACACCTACACGTACTAAGTATTAAGACTTTAAATAGGTTTGGGTTTGGATCCTCAATCTGCACGGTATGATAAATCTGATTGGAATAGGATACTGAAGTTCAACTTTCTCACCCGCGATGATTATTATTAATCTTGTTACTATTGAATAATTCCAAACCTCACCCTTGAGGGTTTATGTATCCTAAGTTGCCCCAACAATGTTGGTATCTACGGATTTCCCTGAACAAACGTCAATAGTATATTATATACCGCGGGACTGAAGTAGTACTTTTAATCCCGAAGGTAAAGTTTATGGCCCGACCGAAGGGAGGGCCATAATTTACCTGAGGGATTAAGACCACTACTTCAGTCGCAAGGTATATACGATATTTTTCGTACTTCCGAAACTGAAACACTTAATATGTATGGAGTTAGAGAACGCGTTCTTTCAAAAAATCGCTGCTTAACAAGTTACCATAGGAACGTTGCGTTGGTATGACAATCCCTATTCTATGGCAACAAAAATAATTTGGAAACTGTCATTGCTAGTGTCATAATTTTGGTGGTGGGTGACAAAGGTGTATTTGATATTGATAAAAAGCAACCAAACTACTAGGTAATGAATTGATACCACCGAAATCCAAAAAACTATATGAGCAGCAGTACGATGCGTTCAAGAAGTAGTGCCGCATACAAAATGTGGAACAACCTACTGAAATTGCCTTGTTAGTAATTTCATTCTTCCGGGATTTTCGTCCAAATTTAATCCCGGCGGGACAAAAAGTGACACTTTAGTACTTGTCATAATGGAGTGAAGTTGTCACTTTAGTCTCGGAAGTACGAAAAAGGTATTTTTTGGTGTTTGATAATTCGATTACGAACGATTATCGGAAGGGCTTTTCAGAGGACTATTGGGCAAAAGAAGTAAAACAATATTTCGTAGGGCGATATTCCGAAATCTCTGGGGTGGACTTAATTGTAATTGACGCAAATTTCCCATGAACCACTATTCCATGAGCGGGGCGAAAATTCCGGAAATGATAATATTGTCACATCAACAGAAAAAAGCTTTTGAATTGGCGACAAATGATTCGAATTGATAAATGATCTCATTATTTGTGCCTACTGATAGTTTTTTTTAAAATCTGATTGCGTTTTTAATTAACACCAAGAAAGAGTTTTTTTGGCATGGAATAGTTATGAATGAGTAATTTATGACGCAAGTTATTATAATGATGCGTAAATGTATAATTTAATGGTTTTTAATCACTAATGCGTCCATTGAGTCTCACGTAACAGTTCATTGTAGATCAAACTACAAAGATCATAATTAGATTTATTTATACAATCGCTATAATCTGTATATGACTATGACTATATGGAGCATACTTATTGTTATTACTTATACGTTTTGTAAATTTAAAATGGTAGGTGATAAGATCTGCACATGTCTTAATTACTAACGAAGGCCGTTGAGCTTCGTTGCAACAAAAAAGTTTAGTTAATATTCTTGCAAATTCACTTACACTAATTGTGTTTCTAAATAGTTACAGAAACTAACCTTGTAGGTCCATACAAAAGCAATGAATCGCAAATTAGGTAAACTGGTAAATTAAACTTTTTGTCCATGTACTAAGAAAGCAAAAATATTCACCTACAGGTTTTTTTTATCATTCGCTACTAGGAAGTAATTTTCTTACAAAAAACAATAGCTTTGTTACTTGGACAGATTTACTACACCCAATTAGTTGCAACCACAAAATAGTGTGATCTACATAATTAATTATTAATTTGCTTATGAGATTAAAAACAATGCAGTGAACAGTAAATTTTATTTTTAAAGCCTCTAATTATGGTTAATTCTGGTTGGTTTATTTTATTTGCGCATCAATCGCGTAGGGTTATATGCGCTAATATGCTTCTATAATTTTATGACTATAATTGGTGTATGGATACTAATTGATTTTAAAAAGTTTGTAATGTTTCCGAAGTTGCACTTCTTCCCTAATATTTCTCGGTGTACAAACAGGGATATTTTGAAGAATCGCGTAGTCTAAATTTTGTGCCAATATGAAAAAATTTTTACTTCTCGTTGCTCTATCAGAAAATTTTATTTTTAATTTCACTGACTAAGTACCTATTTGTTTTATTTAGGGCGTTCTTTTTTAATTTTTTTCCTGCTTAACCGTGAAGAAAAGCGTGCTAAGCTTCAACAAAATTTATTTTTTTACGTAACTACCATCCCCAGTAGCACATTTACTCCAGCTTTCCTTCAGCTGTTTCATTTCATAAAAAAAACATTTGATTTAAAAAAACGACGCAATTGCGCCTTTCAGGTCATTATCGGAGGTAAATTTGCGACACCTGAAGATTTTTTTGCATGTTTACCAAAAAGAAGTCGCATGGTGCTCAATCTGAGCTGTAGGGTGAATGCGGCAAGATTGTGAATTGCGATAATGGGCTGAAGATGGCCAGTTCGATAGGCCCTGCAATTGTCGTGCAACAGCGCAGTATTTCTTCGTTTGGTTGTTTTGCTTTAAGTGTCTTCTCAGGCGTTTAATCGTGCTTCCATTAACTTTATCGTTAATTGTGGTCTCTTTTGCCATGCCCCAGAAAAATTCACCATCCATTTTCCATGCAAAGGCTGGGTGTGGCCTTTTTTTGGGGTTGGAGAATTGCACTGGTTCCTGTTTTGTGAGAGGGTCCTACTGAAATACCCACGTTTAGTCGCATGTGAAAACCCGCCAAAAATTCTCCTAATAAATTTCTTTCCTCGTCAATTTCTGCTCGGACTGCGGTAGAGGAATGCATCAAGCAGTCACTTCTTTCATGCATAAATTTTCGCATATCAAGTAAATGAAAATAGTAAATACATCTTCCGTGGGTCTTTCCCCATTCTGGTGATTTTTGTATAACCCTTGGTTTCGAAAGGGGTTAGAAAATTGCAATTTGAAAAATTTCAATTCACACAAGGAATAATGTTTTCGTTTCAAAGGCGATTGTGGACCCTGCACACTAAATCCTTAGAATTTGTTTAGTGCAAGCTGCAATAAAGGCCTTGGTTGCGTTGATTGTTTCAATTTATACGCATGCAATTATGCTTTCTCATAATAAATTATAATAGGTAAACATGTTTTTGTATCTAGTCAAGTAGAGGGTATAATTTGTTATGAAATTATAACTTACAAGATGGATTATGATAGTAATCACTTAATAGATTTTCAAATAATTATATGCTGTAGATACCTAATATTTTATATAAATTTCAGTGGAGATCAAGGAACCAGCTTTCCGTTTCTATGTAGAAAACATGTGCAACGATGAAATAGATGATGATTATGAAGAGGATGCGGGCGAAGATTCAAATTCTGATCACATTGATAATAATATTTTATCTGAAGTAATACACTTTATGGTGGATTTTGTGGACAGTATATAATAAAACCACGGAATAATGAGCGTAATAATAGTCTAGTCTAGAAAGAAACAAGCGCAAGAAGCAAGCAGAAAACGGATTCCGGAAAGGAAGAGTTTGAAAATTAAAGTAAATTACACGTCAATAAAAAGTAAACAGTAGAGGTGAAAAGTCTTTGAAAAGTAATTGCAAATGTTGAAGAAAAGAAGAAGGATTTTCGGAAAATAAGTTTATATCCAGTAATATTCAAGAAATAAAGAAGAAAGAACAAACGCCAAGTACGAAGTAGTAATAGAGTACCTACATTAGAATATCTACTCCGAGAAGCATACGGTAGGAAATTGAAGTCTGGCACATGTTTTTACATCAACACTTGAACTATATAATATTAAAGTAGGTACGGATAATCGTAGAAAAAGAATTAGAGCAATAGAGGGTGATGATGCTAGATTTTAAATTGGTATCGGTGGTTGCATGTAAAAAGGATTGCCATTTATGCGAATGGTGGACATGTAAAGACGCAAAATATGGACAAAACGCGAACAGTAGTTGTACATTTTCTGATTCTCAAAAGTATATTAAAATACTCAAAATCGTCTCAATAATACTATGGAGAAGGAACCGAACTGTAATACAAATATATTATTAATTCCATCTACCTACCCTACACCACCTTGACTTTGATATTTAAAATTGACTTATTATTATTTCACTTGCGATATCATTGCAAATCTCCTAAAAACTGCCTGCCAATGTTGAATCGCAAGGTAGTAGATTGCAATTACAATTTGAAGATGGCGTATGGAGCCAGCGTGCTGCAGAGCATGTGTTGCATGTAACATTATGCTTGTTCGTTTTGATTGGTTTGGTCATTATTTAAAAAAATGTTTATTTTGGACAAACTGACTACTCCACTATCTAAACATTTTATAATAATCAGTTTTTACCTGTGGAACAAACACTATACCGGGTGGCGACTTGAACAACGCACAACAATAGTAATTGTTTCATTTCTGATTATTGACTTCCTTAATTATTTTAGAGATAAAGTCTATTTAGGTTTTTTGTCGAAAAAATAATGAATCCTTGCATACTATAGCTTTTAATTTTTTAAACTCTGAAATCAAGAGATTGGATAACTACAAACTGGCACTTTTAAGAAAATCAGTGGCAATAGTATGTACGGATTCGTACTTTTTGCTTTACAAAAAAACTAAATAGACTTTATTTCTAAAATAATTCGGAGAGCAAATAATCAGAAATTAAAAAATTACTATTGAAACTATGGTGCGTTCGTCAAGTCACCACCCCGTATGCTACTGTAATAATGGCGACACTATCCTGCAATTTTTCTTACAAATGGCAAAATGAGGCTTAATTTCAATACCAAGAAAACTAAATTGTCTTTTTTATAAAGCAGTTTAGTATCTACGTTATCGTAAGAAACATGTAATACAATTTTTTAGATAGGTGCCGGTAGTACAATATTACGGGCGGCCAATTCATCGGCATAGTCCGCTCGGTAGTGATGTTCCGGGTCGTGAATCTTCTCAATTTCGAGAAAATCCTGAGGTCTATTCTGGATGACCCATTCGAACACCCTTTGAATTTTCGCCTTCTGTTCCTCGGAGCATTCCGGACATTTCGATTTTAACGCGCCAGGTACGATTGCTGCAAGCGATTTCGTTATTGACTTACCCAATTGTTTTCTCTTACCTTTCATCTTTTGCGCATCCGTTGAGCACTTTTGACCGGTCTTCGCACATTTTATATAATTATCAACCAATCGGGGACTGTTCAAAATTTCTTCGATGTCTATGCCATCGAACTCTTCGTATGCGGCCCAAACGCATGCAAAAAGCGCAAACAAACCTAAGCTGATTATAAGTTTCATGTTTGATATAAGCGAACTGGTGTGACTCAATTGAGAATTGCCTGATTTTTATAGCAAATTTTAAACGCCCAAAATTGGCGATGAAAGTGGAAGTGGATTAAAAGACGATTAGTTCCAATAAAAAATAATCGTGCTGTGTAATGCCCTCCTCTTACATAAATAATTAGTTGTTAACAACTTTTTTTGTGTTCCAAAAAAGAGATCGGCAGTCATTATATTAGGTAATTTATTTGGAGTATAATTATGAAGAACACTGTAAACAAATTTAATGGTCTATCTACGTAAATCAAGTTCCTTGCCATGCTATTTTAATATTAATTATATATAAAATGACGCATAAGGTGATGAAGGACACCTACGATTAAATGTCTTGTAAGAAACTAATCCTGTCACAGTCATTTTCTAGACTATACGCGTCAGTGATAATATTCATTAATAACCGCTTTTATTTTCAATTCTTTCTTTTCCCGATATGTCTTAAAAGGTTTTGGAGAAATATTCGCCGTCGTAAGACATTAAACGTCATCAAAATATACTAAAAATGCTTTGTTTTAGCTTACAGAATGGTTACCATATCGGTCGAAATGTAATGTTACCTACCATATATAAATTATTTCTAGATATTCTATGATAAAAACTTATGTGAAAATATCCGAACCTTTGTACGTCTGATGCGGTATAGAGACGTGTAAGTATATTGTTTTTAACTTTTACAGTACCTATCAGTCCATGCAGTTGGCTGAATTTTCTAGGACAAGCTCAAAAATTATGCAATTCTTTATTATGTCAAACTTTTTTGAGCTGTTTAACGGTACCTACCTACCATTCTGAATAATTGAGCTGCTTTAGTTAGCTCACAAATAAGTTTAAAAACCGCGAATTTGGCAAATGAGATGTAATAAATTACCTAATAAAAATGGATTGATATATTTGCCCTTTCTTCTCTTATTCTCACAAATATAAAATTTTGTACAGGGTGTTTGTACAGACGTTAATATGTTATACATTTGTTCATTTTATAACCACCTTTAAAACATTTGCTCAATTCTCAAAGATAACTGAGAGACAGCCAGATTAATATGTATATGTTACCGGCAAACTGCGAAATCCGGCATTTTGCAAAATCCCTAGGCATTTTGCGAAATGACCAATGCAGCAGGTAAAGTGAGAAATGGAACTCGAGTTCGCACTTCGCCTGCCTCTCTTTAGCAATTTTCGCGAAATGCCTAAATATTCAGGCAAAGTGAGAATGCTCGGCTATTTTCCACAGATTGCACGTACAACAGTGCCAAACGTAAAACTGTCGCGTTAGTACCTTCCCCCATGTGATATATTTTCCACAGTAAATGCAAAGCGTGACTCAACAAAAAACCAATAGAAGAAATGCAGTCTAAACGTGACCGCAATATTTAGCAAACACTTAAATAAAATCGCAATCGTCCCGTCGTTTACCATCCAATGGCAACGCTGTACGCGCAAGCTGTGGGAAATGACGAATTCTTCGCACTTTGCCTGCATGTTTTGGCCTTTCGCGAAATCCCTAAAGAGAGCCAGGCAAAGTGCGAACTCGAGCTCCATTTCTCACTTTGCTTGTTGCATTCGTTATCTCGCGAAATGCCTAGGCATTTTGCAAAAGGCCGGATTTCGCAGTTTGCCGGTAACATATACACTGACTTATTTAAATGTGTAGTTAGGTACTTAAAATATAGAAATTCGGACTTTCAACGATGGGTTCGAAAATCCCACCGACTCGTTGCTGTTGCTTGATTTGCAGATTTACAGAAGTAACTTAACACGACGGATTTCCAGCGTGTAATTCAAAGCCAAAGCCAAGCAACGAGTCGAAAAACACTTTAGAACAAATAATTCATTGGAAAACATGGGAGTAAATAAAATTACGAAAGCTCGCTGCTATTACAATCGGCAAGATAAAGACATGAACTGAACATGAGTATTTGTTTGGTGAAAAGTGCTTGAATCCTTAACTATTTTTCAACTTAGAAATTTGCCTTCCGCATAATTCAACGGGAAGAATCGCAAAAAATTGAACGGAAATGAATGCTCTCGTTACACTGTCTTTTATAACTATTTGAAAAGACCCTCTCTCACTCGCTTGTCAGATATCGACAAGGAAGATATCGAAACAAGTGGTGTTTTATGGGGTGAAAATGGACCATGTTTAATACCCTTACAACGAGCAGCTCAAGGAAATACATCTGTAGTAAAGCAAACAAGCAATACTTACAAAGAATATTTCAATAAAGAAGGAAGAGTGACTTTTCAAGACAAAATGGAAGGAAAAGTTTAGCATGATGCTAAAATAAAGTTAGACATATACTAAAAATAGAGCATAGGTAAGCTATATGTTAATAAGCTAAGCATTATTATTAAAGTAATATATTAATACAGGTACTTAAAGCAGTTATAAAAAAGAAGCTATGTATAATATATAGGTATTTTTGGTCTTACCTCAATTTGTGCTTCCTCCTCCAACAAACTATCTTCTCTTAAATTTGATTTCTTCTCTAGGAGTCTGTAATAAAGCTCAAAATATTGTAATACCACAAGCTTGCTTGGTACATATACATCATCAGTAGATGTTCCACTGTTTACTTCTATGTCAATTATTCCTGTAGAAAAACATGAGGAAAACTTAAGACATAGAACACTTAAAGTCAAATAAGCCAAATATCTAAGAGGGTGAGTCCTTTTAATAATAGACCAGGCTATGTAGGTAATATTTTTTGCCAAAATTAATTCCGGGTTCAAACCGGATTTTTAATGCAGGTAAAGTGAGTAGAAATTGGGGAAAAATAATTAAAACAGCTGCATTTTTCCGCGGACGAAATCCCGAGGGTCGAAAGTGATCTTTTGTAGATGAACAACTTTTATGACTACACTTTTTTATACCGGAAAAACTGTTTTTTGTTCGCTTTCTATTTTTATGTACTTGTGCGACAAAAACTCGTAGTGGTCTGAGATTTGTGAAAAAGAAGATAGACAGAAGATAGAAATAGCTTGTTTTATGATAAAAACGCAGACATTTCGTAAAGTTGAGTCCTTTAGACTTATGTTTTAATAATAAAAAACAAAGAATATTGCTATAGACGCGCAAGCATCTAGAGTAATTCTTCCTTTGTTAAGCTGAAATTATAAAAAGTGTGCATTTTTAATTTGAAAAACATTAAACTGGTTTGGCGGCCGGCCGTGCGCCTCTTGGAACGATTCGCACCTAGGCCCGGGCCTTGTGGGCCTAGTGGTAAATCCAAACCTGCTTGGGGACGAATTTTCACATCTCCAATTTTTTGGTAGTACCAAAGATAAAAGTTTAAAATATTGCAAATCGATAGGCAACTTATCGTACCTGCTTGCATAACCCATCCTAGACTAAAATTAGTCTATGCATAAACATGAATGGTAATAAAACCTCATTCTGTATGAAAAAAAGTGACATAACATGACCATTACAGGTCCGGGTAAAGAATTGGCCTGTGGTATTCCCTAGATGTCGTAAAAGGTAACCGAAACCGAACGCCTCCCGTAATAAGGAATCAACTCCCATCAAGTGACAACTGCTTCATGACAGAAGAGCGGTTGGGAGAAGGGCACTCTTTTGTAGAGCGAAATCGGATGAACACCTAAAGTTAACGGCATAGGATGCAGAAGGCAACGAGAAACCAATGCAGTAAAGATCTATTGATAACCCAAGTTGACGGTGGCAGAAATGAGAAATGAAGAAAAAAAAGAAAATATTTCAAAGAATCTCAACGAACCAAAAAATGGAGAAATTCATTACATATATCGCATTTTAAAGTTAATCCCGGAAGTAAAGTATCTCCTCAATCGGATTTCGGGAAGGAAAAATATACGAAGTGTGCATCCAAGAAAAATGATAGGAGTAGGATTAGATTCGGAACGTGGAATGTTAGAAGCCTTTTTAAAGCGAAAAACTAGAAAACCTAAAAAAAGTAATTTGGACTTTATTAGTGTCAGTGAAGTGAGATGGAGTGGATGTGGAGTAGACAAGCTGATGCAAAGAAAATAATTTAATTGTTACGAATGCATAGTTTGAGAACCATAAAAGAAGGCGCTACACGGGGAAAGCACCAGAACCCTATTTAGTAAACAGATAGATTTTATATTGGTGGAAAGTAAATATAAGAACGGAGGCAAAAAAGTTTGTGGGCTACCAGGAGCTGACACATTCATGCATCATGCTAGCTGCTAATTTAGAGTAGAGATAAGGTTGAAAAGAGTGAGCTGCTGGGAACTTGGGAACGTTGAAAGAATTGGACGTAAAATTAAAGAGAAAAGAGAAGGCAGATTTCGAAAAATCTTTATTAGCACGGGTCGAACAAGTCATGTCTAAAACCGTGTCTAAAAACTGTTTTTCGAGTTTTTGGCGGATTTCCCGAAATATTTTTTTATTTTTGATTATTAAAATGCAACGCTTTCGTTCATTTAGTACCTAAACGAGAAGTGTGAAAATTATTAAGTGCACTGCGGTTAGTGAAGAAATCTGAACGGATTAGTTCGGTGGCTAAAGAGAGAATTCGGTGTGGTTTTACTGGTAGCGTCCATGCTGACCAAGAAGTGCCAAAATTTGCTATTTATGCGCTAATTTCATCCAGAAAACGTGGAAACGATCAGCTTGATTGCCAAGAAACAACTTCATGAGTTTTTAATGATGAATTGACTTATGGTATGGGTTTGTACACTTAAACAATCATTAGGTCATTATGAAATAGCCAATAGAAACAAAGGTGTGGTATCGCACAATAAACGTTTGAATCTATTGGCTATTTGTTAATGATCTAATAATTGAATAAACCCCTCATAAGAATATAGCGCATGGGTTTATTGTGCAATGTACGTAACTAACTAACTAACTAAACCATACGTACCTTTTGTTTCTTTTGGTTATTCCTCAATGATCCAGTGAAAGCAATAATGAACTAATAAATGCTTGATTACATAAGCTAGGTATAAGCGTACCATGAGAATTGTTTAAATATGGAATAATACTTCATTGAAATGTGGTTACGTGGGGAATTGGTAGGGTAAAGTTTTTATACTACAAAAGGTCTCGACGAACAAAATTGTTTTCCATCCCCTTGCTTAACCACCTTAATACCTTGACAGTAGAGTATCGGAAAAGGATCCGCAGAACGAACAGAAACCTGGGAACGAACTGTGCAGAAATGATTCCTACCGGAATTATTAGGGTGCGAATCGTCCCTACGCAAATTGTCCGCTCACTGGAAGTTCACAAATTGTCGTGTAATGAAAAGCCGCAGTCGTTAGGAGACGAGGAAACTGTTAGCAATTAAAGAAATTCTCCCTTAATTTCCCGGACCACCCGCTTTTGACAGTATTTGATAGTAGTAGTTAAGCTTTACAAAATGCGAACGCAATTGCCAATAACTGGATCGCAAGATATTCAAAAGTAGTTTGAATTATCATGGAAGACAAAGACTGACACAAGCAAACTAATAATTTGTCTTCGAAGATGCGTTAAAATTAGGTATGGTCACTAACAAAGCTAAAATAATGATCCTCTGACAATTTATTCTGAAATGCTTTTGTCTGAGACCATGCTCGTGGGTAACTCAAACTAATATGAATAGAAGAAAAAGCAAAACGCATGTTTGGGGTAACCGGTACGTTGGTTAACTGTGTTGATGTGAG